ATTCTCAGAAGATAATACAGCCACCTTCATTTCCAATAGATAATCCAACCACCTTCATTTCCGGTAGATAATCCTGCCACCTTCATTCTCATTAGATAATCCAGCCACCTTCATTCTCAGTAGATAATCCAGTCACCTTCATTCTCAGTAGATAATCCAGTCACCTTCATTCCCAATATATAATCCAGTCACCTTCATTCCCAGTAGATAATCCAGCCACCTTCATTCTCAGTATATAATCCAGCCACCTTCATTTCCAGTAGATAATCCAGCCACCATTCTCAGTAGATAATTGTGCCACTTTCATTGCAAGTAGATCTAGATAATCCAGTCATCTTCATTTTCAATTGATAATCTCCATCTACCTTCATTGCAATGTCCAGACAAGGTCAAATATAACACATTATGACATACATGTATATGCATCATTCAATGTAATAAAACAATAATTGACCTTATATAAGTGTGAGCTGAAGTTTGCTTTACCTCACACAACAGCATCATCCCTGGGAAGCCTTTGTTGGTTGATATAACCTGTCTGGGGGATGCAGTGTCACATGTCATCTCCATATGGGGTCAATTACATGTAGTTACCATATATAGAGATATATCCTCTCTATATCCTTCTGTAGGTTTGTACTCTATTTAACAGACATTCTTCATCCTGGTAATACTTATTCACTGGGTTTGTGTCGAAGCATCTCAATGTCCTGCAGAAGAACGAAAATTGAAAAAGACTTATTAATATGCAAGATTTGCATAGCAATTTTACAAAAAGTCACATTTGTCAGAAAGGGTTCCCTTTTAAAATTAAAAACCATATTTATTTGAAGTTAAGTGGTAGATGTGCTCTAAATTCAAACAGTTGTGGTTTTGTCTCGCCGCCATGAAGTGGCGGCGTCAACATTAATTGTTTGCATTTAAGTTAGTTTCACTGAAACTATAAGTGCTAGACCAACCAAACTTGGAACATAGATGTGTCTTACGTAGTACATCTCAACCTATGCATCAAATGATGCATGCAGCCTTAACATTTTAAGTTCTTAACGTGGCTCCACACTTTCGCAATTAACCAGCAAAATTCGTTGAAACTTTCATATAATGGTTATGCAATTATGTAGAGTTAATTTTATGAAAATCTAAACATTCCGATAGTTTGGGGACTTTTTTGGAAAAAATACCAAAAAATTGAATTTTCGTCAATTTTAATATTTTCCGTTTTTTGTGTGAGTGTGGCATTGTTCGGAACAATAACAACAATAAAAAAATGAAAAGAAGCATTTCTAAATAACCCTATAAATATTTTATTTATCGCAAAATATATAACACATGTTACACAAAGTGTTTTTTATTGAATTTGTACGGATAAAAGTGATTATCTATATTTTTAAAAGCAAACAGGACACAAAGATCTATACATATAGAGTGGGAAATTGAATAAAATAAACACAATGGCTTTATAATTAATATATTTTACATTTTACAATCACTTTGATTCGGGTGATAGTAATATCTTCCTTGAAAAAAATCGGAACTTTTTGCAGAGGGATGACATTTACACAATGACAGCTGTCTCTGTTTACATATAACAAAAATGATGGAAATAAATCAAAAATATGATATCAAAATTACCAATTTCTTGTTCTTTAATGGAACCAAATTACCCTCAGTCATGTACATTTTGGACATCATTCCACAGTCCGCTAACTCACGGTTTATGTGACCAGAGGCTATCGCATGGTATGCCGTTCTCACCTGCATTCACACATGCATTTCATAGGTATCTTGATATTTTACAAAACATTATTTTCACAGAGTAAGTAGCCTACGTTTGTAAACACGATTTAATCGACAGAGCGAAACTCCCTCAACAGCAAAAATCGTAACGACCTCGAGCTTATGAACTCGTGTAAGCACGTGATATGCACATGTGAGGTTGGTACGTCCGCATTCCATGTGTTTCCTATATGACCTTCTTGAGGTCGTCTGGTCTCATGTCACTGTCTTCCTGTGAGTCTGTTTATGTCTATGAATTGGAAAGCTTTATTCCTGAAGTACGTGTGATTATATATTTCCCGGTAAAATCTTGATATCGGGTGTTGACATATCATCGGCACGCACATGTACTATTGTTTACCAGGGGCCTGTTCGTTTATGCGGAACAACCGGTTTGACCGTTTATAAATGTATCAATTTCAGGTATAAATCATGGCGGACCTGCAAATGTGTATGCAGGCCTTGCAAGGCTTTCTCAAGGCTCGCCTGAAAGCAGCATGAGATTACTAGGTCCGACCTTAATATATAAATATAAACTGTATTTATTTAACAACAATTATGAAACAAGTTATTTCAACTTATATTAATCACTGTTGTTGGCCCGGATGTTAGCGCGTGGGGGTCTTAGTGTGGGAGGAAACCGGAGTACCTGGAGAAAAACCACGTGGTCGGGCAGGTGACCCCAACTTTTTCACGTCCGATCGGGGAATCGAACCCCGGCCGCCTTGGTGAAAGGCAAGTGCGCTATCCACTGCACCACCCGGACCAATTTGACATGTACATTGATGGTCAAAGCGGGGCACAGACAAGACATCATTCTAAATGGCTTGTTATCTCTCTTGGCCAGTATCATGAAAATTCTAATTCAAAGAAAATTCTCAACTTCATTATCTCCTCTCAGATAATTTCGGGTTAAATTTACAGCGATTCACCCAGGGTCAAGAGGTGATTTTGTAACATAAGTTTATAGATATATAAAGCTATATATAGGTATTTCTATTAACATTTGAGGAAATGTAGCCTAGCTGTGAAACAGATTTGCTTTTGATAATGAAATTCTATATAAGAAATCCAAGATGATGCTATGATCTCTATAATCTTTATGTTTTTGAAAACTTCCTTGGTGATGTTATTTTTGCATTCATTTCAAGATGTCTGACACCTCACCCTCATTTTTTGTAATATTTTCATAGAATTTACGCGGGACTTAAAGAAATCTGTATTGGTAAAGAAAAATGTGATACCAATAAGCTGCTGATTATCAACCCAAGGATTCTTTTTTTAGAGGATCTTACATGAAAGCGAGGCCATTTAATATGACTTTTACATAAATGTTATTATTCTATTTATCACATAACATTCATAATTTGAAAAAGAAAAACACAATTATGTCTTATCAGCTGACACTAAACTGTTAAAAACTAAAGTACTCAGATCATAGTACTGTCGTTCCGCTCAATACAAAGTAGTTCCAGATTTCTTTTTTAATAATGAACAATTTTAAAAGCAATGAAAATTTAAATGACAAAATCACCATTTCAAATTCATCTGAAATAACAGTAAATGTATCAAATGGTATAATAAATATAAGTGGTACCTGTTGTGGCGTAGGATTATGTTCCCACAGTTTTGACCAATCGCAGCACCTTTAGGTTTTATTACACGTGTGGAATACCACATTTATGACATGGCCGTATGACAAAGTAAAATCGGTCAGTTATGTGATAATATTGATCCATCTTCAGGCAGGTTTCATGTTGGTTGTACAGTCTAGTGATTTCTTTATTTATTTGGCAAATGTGTCGGTAGCCTACAGACTGGATTACATCTTGAATGCAGAACTGTACTGTGGATCCCCATAATGATTGATACCACAGACCAAAATTGTAACTTTGCATCTAAGACTTTATTTTTGTTATGACTTCAGCTTTGATTAACGATTTCTAATGAGAAAAACATGCATTGAAGAACTTTTATGAAATCAAACTGAAATACACAACAAAAATCCTGAACAGTGTTCTAAGTGTAAAAATGTAACGGGGCCAGACCTTTAGTATTCTAACCCTGGGCCTCCGATCATTATACGATTGCTGAAACTACCCAAGCCCAGTCCAGCTAGTTAATGACCAATTTGACACAATTCGTCAGTATGACTAGCCATTTCAAGCATGTATAACAACTTAAAAGTATTATGTACGCTTTTTGTAGTATATCCAATTCAATGTCAATTTTTTGTTGCCATCTCATACAAATTCACTCCTTTATGTACATTCACGTTACTGGTCATTTGTCTGATGACAGTGAAGTACAAAATCTTCCCACACGTAAACACTAAACCGGTTGTGCTAGATGAGCCTATCTACAAACCAGACTTACCAACCTGAAGAAATTATTTAGAAATATGCTATCCCAATGGCTAGTCAAAATTTGATATGACTTATCATGTCGCAAAAATGTTTGGCTAGATCAAGTCATGGAATCACACATCCAACAAATGTGATATATACAAAATACATCAAAAAGTTAAAAAAATAATACCTGCCTTTTTTTTTACCTGCAGATTTTCTAGGAAGAGAATGACCTACTTTCAATTTTCAATTTCATGGCATGAACAATTTGTATAGCACAAATTTTTTAATGCATACCACATCTTTTCTTGATCACACAATGGTTTATAATAAGTTATAAAAGACATAATCAAATGAGCTGTTTTACTAAGAAGACCTGCAAACTAGAAAGCAGACTTAGCAAATACTACACTGACTCACTTTGTACGTGTGAGAAATCTTTCATGAAACAATGTTGGAATGGATAATGTATTGTTCAATTTCTTCATCAGACCTGTTTTCATTGGTTAATTCAAGTTGGAATGTTATTGACTCCTGGTTCTGTGGGTCATTCCGGTACATATATAACAACTATTGCACATACGCTTACAGCGTAGCCTCATTGACATTGATTTGTGGACAACTCGTACACATTTTACACCTTTGTGTGCAAATGCTTCACTGGTCATTTGCATTTGTCTGATGAAGGTGACAGTGTACATATCAAAACGTCACATAGAACATTTGTATTGGTTGTGTAAAAAGAACTTTTCCTAATGTTTAAACTTATTTACCCTATACAAGTTATGTTTCCCTAGTATTCATATTACCAGAAAATTATACTTTTGACTAAGTTAAATATAATTGACTGAATTGTGATAATGTTGTGTGTTACAGTCAAGGTTCAGGAACTGGAAGACACACTTGGTCAAAGTCAGGAGGACCTTGACACTAGGAATACACAGTGTGATCAACTGGAGGTAAGTTAGTATTATACCTTAAAACTATTTACCTTGAAATGAGAGCTTTAAGGGCCAAGTGATTAAGGCGTCTGACTATCTGCAATCACCAGCCCTCCGCTGGGTTGCAGGTTTGAGATCTACGTAGGGCAGTTGCCAGGTATTGGCCTCAGAGCGATGTTGTTTTTTCTCCAGGAACCCCAGCTTCCCTCCACCATAAAAACTTAGCACGTCCTGAGATTACCATAGCTGTTAAAAGGATGTAAGACATAAAACAAACCAAACCAAATTGATATTATGGATTTTTGTTTAAAATTTTAGAGAATAAAACTTTCAATGAACATGTCTGAAGATAATTTTGTTTCTGTCAGAAACCACTGAAGGCTACAATTTCCCTACCGATTCAAGTAAAATGTTGTGAACGCAATGTACATTAATATAAATGCTTTGTTTCTCGAATGCTACACATTATTTTCATTAAGTTGGATTATTTTTGTAATCAACACAAAATGGTCTTATTCTCCTGTTTTAAATATAAAAACCATGAGAAAATAGCCCAATTTCAATTTTACGTGAAACTTAATGGTTTTCTGACATTTAAGTGTACTTCAAGCTGTCAAATAATATTTCTAACTGTTAACTGTTTAAATAAAAGCCTCCAAGCTAGATCAGTATTGGCTTTCCTGTCCATTGCTATGGCAACTGTTGGTAAGTTTCACTATTTCTGGGAAATGTGTTAAAAAAGGATTCAGTCTACGAGTGTTCAATAGTTACTGCTAAGAAAGAATGCATTGGGCTGAGGCTATCTTTCTTATATAACACCAGAATTAAAACTAGAATAAGGGCTGATGCTGTCAGGGTTGTGTTAAGTCTGTGTGTTGTGTTGTGGTCAGGGTTGTGTTAAGTCTGTGTTTTGTGTTGTGGTCAGGGTTGTGTTAAGTCTGTTTTGTGTTGTGGTCAGGGTTGTGTTAAGTCTGTGTTGTGTTGTGGTCAGGGTTGTGTGTTAAGTCTGTGTTGTGTTGTGGTCAGGGTTGTGTTAAGTCTGTGTTCTGTGGTGTGGTCAGGGTTGCGTGTTAAGTCTGTGTGTTGCAGTCAGGGTTGTGTGTGAAGTCTGTGTGTTGTGGTGTGGTCAGGGTTGTGTCTTAAGTCTGTGTGTTGTGGTCAGGGTTGTGTCTTAAGTCTGTGTGTTGTGGTCAGGGTTGTGTTAAGTCTGTGTGTTGTGGTCAGGAATGTAATAAGTCTGTGTGTTGCAGTCAGGGTTGTGTGTGGAGTCTGTGTGTTGTGGTGTGGTCAGGGTTGTGTGAAGTATGTGTGTTGTGTTGTGGTCAGGGTTGTGTTAAGTCTGTGTGTTGTGGTGTGGTCAGGGTTGTGTTAAGTCTGTGTGTTGTGGTCAGGGTTGTGTGTAAAGTCTGTGTTGCGGTGTGATCATGGTTGTGTGTTAAGTATGTATTGTGGTGTGGTCAGGGTTGTGTGTAAAGTCTGTGTTGGGGTGTGGTTGGTGTTGTGTGTAAAGTCTGTATTGTGGTGTGGTTGGTGTTGTGTGTTAAGTCTGTGTGTTGTGTTGTAGTCAGAGTTTTGTGTAAAGTCTTTGTTGCGGTGTGATCATGGTTGTGTGTTAAGTATGTGTTGTGGTGTGGTCAGGGTTGTGTGTAAAATCTGTGTTGTGGTGTGGTCAGCATTGTGTGTAAAGTATGTGTGCTGTTTTGTGGTCAGGGTTGAGTGAAGCCTATGTGTTGTGGTGTTGTCATGGTTGTGTGTTTAGTCTTTGTGTTGTGTTGTGGTCAGGGTTGTGTTAGGTCTGTATGCTTTTTTTGGTCAGGGTTGTGTGAAGTCTGTGTGTTGTGGTCAGGGTTGTGTTAAGTCTGTGTGTTGTGGTCAGGGTTGTGTGTAATGTGTAAAGTCTGTGTGCTGTGGTGTGGTCAGGGTTGAGCAAAGTCTGTGTGTTGTGGTGTGGTCAGGGTTGTGTTAAGTCTGTGTTGTGGTCAGGGTTGTGTGTAAAGTCTGTGTGTTGTGGTGTGGTCAGGGTTGAGCAAAGTCTGTGTGTTGTGTTGTGGTCAGGGTTGTGTGTGAAGTATTTGTTGTGGTGTGGTCAGGGTTGAGCAAAGTCTGTGTTATGGTGTGGTCAGGGTTGTGTGTTAAGTCTGTGTTGTGTTTCGGACAGGGTTGAGCAAAGTCTGTGTGTTGTGTTTTGGTCAGGGTTGTGTGTTAAGTATGTGTTGTGGTGTGGTCAGGGTTGTGTGTAAAGTCTGTGTTGTGGTGTGGTCAGGGTTGTGTGTGAAATATGTGTTGTGGTGTGGTCAGGGTTGAGCAAAGTCTGTGTGTTGGGGTGTGGTCAGGGTTGTGTGTTAAGTATGTGTTGTGGTGTGGTCAGGGTTGTGTGTAAAGTCTGTGTGTTGTGGTGTGGTCAGGGTTGTGTGTGAAATATGTGTTGTGGTGTGGTCAGGGTTGAGCAAAGTCTGTGTGTTGTGGTGTGGTCAGGGTTGTGTGCAAAGCCTGTGTTGTGTGGTCAGGGTTGTGTGCAAAGTCTGTGTGTTGTGGTGTGGTCAGGGTTGTGTGCGTAGTCTGTGTATTGTGATGTGGTCAGGGTTGTGTACTCATTGGAGGCTTGAGAGGACTGAATTCAAGTTTTAAAAATACCAAACTGCCTCTTTTTCCCAAAGTAATTTTCATTATTTGGAAATGACAACCTTGATTGTTGTCTGTAAATACATCAGATAAAAACAAAAAGTTGCATCATATTTGAGATGAATATATTTACAATTTGTATTTATGTTACAGGAAAATTTGTCTTCTTGCAAACTGGAACATCAACTGGACTTGAAGGAGATCTGGCGTCTGGTACACAAGGATGTGGAGAAGGAGTGCACGGATGGGCAGGTAATGCTCGTTCTATCAAACAGTTGATGCCGAGACATAAAAAACAGAGTTTCATGATGAACTATAAAGTAAGGAATTGAAATTGATAGGTACTTTTGTTTTATTTCAACTGTTTTCTTTTTTTATTGCAATATTTATTAATGGAATCCAACAAAAAATAATCCTAGCCTTGTTGGACATACAATAAGAGACTAAAGAACATTTCTAATGAAAATGTTTATGTAAACATTTGATACAGTCAGCAAGCACCAATGTCTTTCTATTCTATCTACCATTAGATATCAGGATATTGTTTTCAATAAGTTTCTCAACTTAATTCTCCTTTTATGTACAACAAAATTCATATTATGTAGTTGAGAAAACAAAAAGAATAAACAGGCTTGCTTTCAATATTGTTTTTTAGCTCACTTGGCCCGAACTTTTTACTTTAAACAGCTTCTTCTCAGTAACCAAAAGGCCTAGGGTGATGATATTTGGCCAGAAGCATGCTGGGATGAAGGGCTACCAAGTTTGTTCAAATAAATGACCTTCATTAATTTTCAAGGTCACAGGGGTCAAATATGTTAAAATCTTTAAACAACTACTTCTGAATAACCGAGAGGCCTAGCTAGGGTAATGATATTTGGCCAGTAACATGCTGGGGTGAAAGGCTACCATGTTTGTTCAAATAAATGACCTTGACTTATAGTCAAGGTCACAGGGGTCAAATATGTTAAATACCTCTAAACAACTTCTTCTGAATAACCGAGAGGTCTAGGGTGCTTAAATTTGGGCAGTAACATGCTGGTATGAAGGGCTACCAAGTTTGTTCAAATAAATTACATCGACTTATATTCAAAATCACAGGGGTCAAATATGTATAAAACATTTAAACAGCTTCTTCTGAATAACCAAGAGGCCTAGGATAATGATATTAGGCCAGTAACATGCTGGAATGAAGGGCTACCAAGTTTGTTTAAATGAATGACCTTGAATCATATTCAAGGTCACTGGGGACAAATATGTTGAAAACATTCAAACAACTTCTTCTGAAGAACCAAGAGGCCTAGGGTGATGACATTTGGCCATTAACATGCAGGGATGAAGGGTTACCAAGTTTGTTCAAATGAATAACCTTCGTCCATATTCAAGGATGGTGGTCAATATATGTTTAAATCTTTAAATGTTTGTTTTGTATAACCAAAAAGTCCAGGGTAATGATATTTTGCTAGAAGCATGCTGGGTTAGAAGACTATAAATTCTGTTCAACCTAATGTCCTTGTTCGACATTCAAGGTCACGGGTATCATATGTTTAAATATTTAAATAAGGTCTTTTTAATCAAACACTGATATTCTGCCTGTAGTTATATTTTAGTCCACTTTTAAGATAACAAGTGTGAAATTATATATAAATACCAGGTGAGAGATTCAGGCCCATTGGGCCTCTTGTTTAGCTACATTTTGAAGACCTCGCTGCATCATCTTGTAAGGCATTTGATTAGTACAGGAATTAGTTTGTCTCGCATCTGAAATCACATTCTAATTACTGTGTTCTTTAATATCAAAAGCATGCAGTGACAACATTGAAGAATGGTTGCTTTTGTAAATTTTTAACATAGTGTGGTAAATATGATGGATAATCTCGGTTTCTTGTAAGTCGACCTTTAGATCATCAATTGTCAGGCCAGCACCTGCAGCAGCTCAGGGGAGAGCTGATCCGAACTTCCGATATATATCAAGTCTGTGGAAGCATATCCCAGAATCTCTAGGAGATAAAATATTTCGTATCCACCAAATAGATGAGAACCATATTCATGGTCAGAATGTATTTGCAATTTGTCCTGTTAGTGTTCATGTTTTGTTGGGGTCAAAAAGCCATCATCTGCCTGTGGTAAGAGAGTGTATCCCTATACAGTGCTAGACGGTACATGAGGTCATTGTTTTGTAAGAGAGTGGAGAAGGTGTGGTGTGTTATCTTGAACATCATTCCCCTGGGTATGTCAACAGACATGATATCTCACACAAACCACTAATCTGAGTCTATAGGCATATTACTGCTGAAAAATATACCAGAAAAACCTGACAAGCATATTCAGATGCTGTCTCCTACATAATGTGTACAGTTTTGCTGGGAGCATACGTTCTTGTTTAAGGTTACAGAGGCTAAGTTAAAGGTCAGGGTTGATAGGTAAAAAGGTCAAGGTCATTTGGTTTGTGTAGCAATGCAAAGAAAAAATTATGTGGACTGCAGAGACTAAGAATCAAACGTATGTGTCACAAGATCACCGGGATTTTTTTTTCTGAACGTCTATTTAATTTTCTCTCAAAGGAAGAAATGGATTACCGCCGCATTTTATACTATTGTTCACCAAGACCTAGGAAATTCTTGTTAAACGTTTGAGGCACAGGGTCATAAAGAGTGCTGGTTTTATATCTCCCATTTCAAGGAAAGGGAGACATTATGTATTGGAACTGATTTTTCTGGTTCTAGGACTTTTGGTAGCATCTTGTCTGGGCAGCTATTTATTTAACCATCGAAATATATCTTAATGAAACGTGAAGTTTACCAACATCAATCAGTAGGTGTTCAGTGCACTGTAATAGGGCCACTTATTATGACATTCACTTGTAGGTCAAAAGATGCATGTCAATACTGTAAGTATGCAAATATGCATTCTGAGATTACGAGGAAGCTAGCTTTCAATTGATGGTGATGAGGTTGAAGGTCAAATTTCAAGATCACAAGCTAAACTTTGAAAACATCAATTTGTTTTGGGGTTTCTTTTAGTACTGAATAGGGGGCATACCATGTCCACTTATTTCCACAGGGAATGGGAAAGTTTACCATAGTTCATATGTGGGGACACTTTGGGTTTCTAAGTCTTCCACTATTGGAAAGTTTACAATAGTTCATATATGGGGACACTTTGGGTTTCTTTCTAAGTCTCCCACTAGACCACTAAAAGGGACAAAAGGTTTACACTATGTCAGTCTGTCCATCCTTATATATCTTTGCAATTGACCGGCATATTTCTTGTAGTTTTTCAGCTACAACTGTCAAATTTGTATTCTTAATACCTGATGGTATGGTGAAGTGTCACATATTTAAATGGGGGAAATTTGCCCCACACTATACAAAGTTATTGTATAGGAGTACCCTTGTGTCATAACTGAAATTGCGTCTTGTGCCAAATTATACACAGAGTAATGCCTCTTTTTGTTCACAATGTCACTTTGTATGGGGCACATCTCATAAGTTGTCACCTACGATTTTCAAATCTTGTATGAAAGTACGTCTTGTTTAGATACCAGGTCGAAACAGGTGTTTTGTTTTATTTAGCTAAATAAACCATTTTTTTCGCTTAGCCCGAGATATGTATGAAAGTTTTAGTAATTCTGTCCCATTAGTATCAAGAACCGTCTTCAGTGTTGTGATCATTCAATTGTATGGTGAATGAGATTGGGAGGTTGGTGGTTGGGGAGGGGGTGAGTTGTTTATAAAGTTATCTTAAGGTGGGATCAAAGTTGGACATTTTCACGGAAGGAATATAGTTAATCTTGATCAGCAGTTCATGGCATTGTCACTGTAAAGAATGATTCATGCAAGATTGATGGGAAGCAGTATTATCACCTTGTACAAAATAATCTTTAAGTGCAATCACACTTCATCCAAGAATGAACATATAGCTCATGCTGCATACACACAAATAACTCATCATTGTTAACTTCATTACTGGTACAATGTTCAGCAGCTGTCCATTCTTAACACAAAAAGGTGTCCACTATTATTACAAAGGGGTACTGTGTTTTAAGTAGGAGAAAAACTTAAAACTGTCCACTCTGTGAGAGAATTAACAGATCTCGGCCCTACCGCCTCGATGACAGTCCCTTTACTCACAGAATGAACAGTTTTCAGCCTTTCTTCTTTACATAAATACTGGTCTAGTGGTGATTACAACTCAAGTAGACTTCCTTACAGCTTGTAATTATAGGCCTGTGAGGTATTGTTACATAAAGCTGGTTTAATTGACACAATATTTGAGTATGTGTTGCAAACTGAATAAGACAACAATATTTCTGTTATGACTACAATATTGTATTGACCTTGGGTAGGACCTGGATGTTCCATGGATAAGCCAGTGTTGCCAGTGGAATCATAATTATTTTTATTTTCTTAAGGTTGAAAAATCATTGAATCAACTTCAAATAAAGTTAATAATTGTATGAGAGCATATTTTTTTTTTCATATTTCATTATCAGAAAGAGGTGCCGTTATCGGATACTCCATACCACATTCGTAACCAGATTACGCAGGAGATACAGAGTCTGAAGACGCAGCTTCACAAGCGAGAGGCAGTGCTTGATATTTTAGTAAGGTTTCTTCTTATTATTATTTCAATATGTCTATTGTGATTATGATATGTATAGCACAAGACATAATATCATAACGACTAATTCTCCCATTGTCATTTGACATACCAAGTGATTTAAAAGGTCGTTTCTATGGATATTGCCTGTGCATAATAAATAAATCAGATTTATAATAGTAGGATTGAAGTTATCAATGGAAACATTCTGAAGTGGTCGGGATTCAAAATTGTACAAATTGAGGGGCTAATACAGTAGATTTCGCTTAATATCACTTCCCATTTGTCAGCGAATACGTATTTTCTGACGTTTTTCAGCCCTCAAAACCGGAAGTGAACTTAGTCAAATGCCTAAGTGGTGTGGCTCTACGAATTGAAGAAGATTGTAAAATAAAGATATTTTGTCAATAACCTTGTTCTTTACTCTAGTTGAAATATAGTATACGTAAATAAGTATAGAAATAAATATATTCTTTTTAATTTATTTCAGTATGCAGTTACATTTCATATATATAGTTAGTAGCAAAATGACGATCAGTACGATCGTAATTATGATTATTTACTGCAGTAGTGATGAAGGCATACAAGTGTTTGGCTGATATTCTGCATCAAATTCAATTGTAAACATGATACTTGGTAAATATTTACATTTATCTTGATATATATACTGCTCTTTCGCTAGTAGCATCTTTTTATAGTTTAATTTCTTCAGATATTTGCTGCAAGTGTGACATCGTTTTCTTCGAGTTTGTCTAGCTATCGTACGGTGACCTTTTACCTTTGAAACATAGCATTTCATTGGATGACCTCAATATGCAAAAAAAAACACCAGGCAATCAGATGCCGTGTTATGAAATCGGGTTAAACCAGCCGTAAACGAGGGAAGTGAAAAATGTAACCTCCTGTTACGATAGTTTGAACAATAAATGATAACACAAAAGGTAATCTCTTTATTACATCGACATTTGGAAAGTGTAATTAAACATAGGTCATAATTTTGCAATGAATAAATTCTCGCAGATCACGATTTTACACCAGCACCATACGGTTGAATTACGACAACACCATGTCGGCGTCGTACGTGGGTTATTTGAGATCAAAACAAAGACGATTTTTTCGTATTAACCTTGGTCAAACTTAAATAATTTAAGAAACTTATTGTTTGAAAGACAATCTTTATTTTAATCTCAATCAGCATTCGTCATATTTTACGGATGACCATCCACTTGTATGCCTACTTCACGACAACGTAAATTCAATCTGGAGACGAGCTGTCTGTGAAGATAGTACACATGTTGGTTGAAAGATTACATCACACTTAGCATTAGAAAAGTTTACAGATGTAAGACTGTCCTGGCTCCCCCAACCACAGGTGAATATCCTGTTAACAAGTATGTAAGGTCAACCTTTTGTTTAACAGTCAGCCAGGTGTAACCTATTGTTTGACAGTCAGCCAGGTGTAACAAATACCCCGTTAGGGCGCGGCGTTGTATACATAACGCGCCCAGGTGTGACGGAAGGTCCCCGGGGGCATTTATCATGAATCATTACCGCGATTTACCTATATTTTGTTGGTGACTGTGGCCAAAATAAAGTGATATTAAGAGAAATCGACATAAAATCAGGTGATAATAAAAGAATTGAATTGCATAGATTATATAGCAGGAAAAACGGTGCATCAAAAAAACATGATAATAACCGAAAAGTGACATTAACGGACGTGATATTAGGTGAAATGTACTGTACCTCCCTGGGGGACTGAGGGGCAGAACAAAAAAGGAGTGATTTGGCCGTATTCCTTTATGCGACTTTTTATCCTTGAAAGATGGATACCAATCATATTTGGATTGAAGTATCTTAAGTGGTGGGCATTCAAACTTGTACCAGTTGAAGGATGCAATCTCCAAGTCTGAGGGGTGGCACGAAAAAGGTTATCTTTTTACTTGAACATTATCGAGATCCCCACCATAAATCCATATACACTACACGGAAGCTTTCAGGATGGCTTAATTAAAGGTTCCTGCCCCAGTCTTGGAGACTTAGTCCCTGGGTCATTACTTTGAAGCTGTTGAGATTCCCACCCCGTATAACCATATATAACATAGAGCGGCATATAAAAAGACAAACACAATTTTTTTACCTCTTTTGAACTCAGGTTTTCCTCCCCCAAAACCTGGCTTAATTGTCCTTAAATGACCATAGATGTTAATAGGACATAAAGCACAAACAAACCAAACCAAAAAATGACCTGAAACTGTTGACATTATGATGAGGCAGAAATATTAGGATTCTTGACAAATTTGTGTTCCAGACTAGCAGTAAGTGTAAGCCTGACCATCATCAGACCCTGGAGCACAGTACATGTAGCTGTTTCGGTAACGTTTCTGGTAGCAATGCCAGCTCCCCTCTTGTTGGTGAGTATCAAATTATGGCCATTATTTGAAAAAAAAAACAAAGAAAGAAAGTTTCCTAAATATGTGACGGCTTCAACTCTTCAATTTTCATTGATGTAACAGCTACTACCCCTACATGTCCAGAGTTTGTAACAGCAAAAAAAGATTGCCTGCTGATCTTCTTTCCATGGTTTTACTAGGCTATTGATGGAGGACCCAGCATAGAATCCGAGGTTTTTTTCTTTTTTTTTGCTTCAATATGCTTACCCAGTTGCAATGCTTGGGATCTTTAATTATTTCTTGTTCTTCAAAATTAAATTCTACTATAAAATTCCCGACAAATACAAAATGGATCAAGCTGACAACGTGATCACACGGTCTATATCTCATTAACAGATGAATACAGTTTCCTTCAAAAAAATAAAAGTAATTTTTTGTTGTTATTTAGTAATTGAATGGCTTAAAAGTTATTGAAATTTCAATAAAAAAATAATTAAAAAGCATTTTTCAAACGAATAGACAGGCCTATAGAGTTATGATATTTGGCTGAAAGCTTCGTTGGAAAGAGTTTAACAAAGTTTGAGAATGAAAATGACCTTGACCTACTTTCAAGGTCACAGAGGTCAAATATGTTTAAAGAAGAGACAGTTATTGAATCTTCATATTTGGCTGATAGCTTGTTTTGGTGGAGCCCAACAAATTTTGAGAACAAAAATGACCTTGACCTACTTTCAAGGCATATGGGTCAAATATGTCAAACACATCAAACGACTTCTTCTGAATAAAGGACAGGCCTAAATTCATGATATTTAGCTGAAAACTTCATTCTTAAGAGCCTGACGAAGTTTGAAAACGAAAATGACTTTGACCTACTTTCAAGGTCACAGGGGTCAAATAAGTCTAAAACTTCAAACGACTTCTTCTGAAGATCTGAAAAGCCTGGGGTCATGCTATTTGGCCAGTATCATTCTATGATGGCATTCAACAAAGTTTGCAAATGAAAATGAACTTGACCTACTTTCAAGGTCACAGGGGTCAAATACGTTAAAAACTTCAAACAACAATATCCTAAAAACCGTCAGCATCCTCATGTACACCAACTTAAAAAATGTCAATGTGCTTGCGAACATCATCTTGGAATGCTTCCATCTGCATCAGTGCGAGTTTGAAGTGGTATAAAAGTGGAATTGCCTTCTTACTGAACCACTTCTTCCGAATTAGAAATCAAGTTCTGATGTAATTGTTCAAAAATGTTTAATCCGTCTACAAATCATAATCCAGTCTTCATTACCGGAGTTACATTTACAAAAAACTGATAGAAAGCTAGGAAAACAGTGGCATTGAATAAGTAATATTTTGACGGATGATTTCAGTTGGAAATGTTTTTTGTAACAGTTTTTGTGCAAACATTAATATGGACACTTATCTATTTTTTAATTTTCATTTAAAACCCCTGGAGGCAGAGTGGCAGGGCTGAATAGGGGAAATGAGGGGTAAAACCTTTAAAATCCTTCCTCTACCGTAGGGATTAAGGGATTTTATCCTAATTTAGTCTGGAGCATCCTTGGGCCAAGGGGACTCAATTTTGTATAAACCGTGAGTGTGGCCCCACCTTGGGGTAGAGGGGCGGGGCCCAATAGGGGAACCATAGCAAATTATTTAAAATCCTTCTTATATATATGTTTTTGTGTATTTGTCTGAGGGATATTGTGGAAATGTAGTTTTCAATTTTCCAAATTTGATCAGATGTTCCTTTGATGTATGGTTGTAAGCGTTTGTCAGAGAACCACAGGAGCTGATATTTAATCAATAAGATAAAGCTCTGCTTGCTATAGCACTAGTATAGAGCCCTGATTCCAATACACGACACTGTAGGCTCCTACAAACCATCAGCATCCTCATGTACACCGACTTAAAAAATGTCAGTGCTTACGAACATCATCTTAGAATGCTTCCATCAGTGCCAGTTTGAAGTGGTATAAAAGTAGGGTTACCTTCTTACTGAACCACTTCTTCCGAATTAGAAATCAAGTTCTGATGTAATTGTTCAAAAATGTTAAATCTGTCTACAGATCATAAACCAGTCTTCATTACCAGAGTTACATTTACAAAAAACTGATAGAAAGCTAGGAAAACAGTGGCATTGAATAAGTAATATTATGACGGATGATTTCAGTTAGAAAGTCTTTGTAACAGTTTTAACTCACCTTGCCTAAAGGTTTGTGCGAACATTAATATGGACACTTATTTTTATACGCCCGTCGAAGACGGGGACGTATTATGTTATCACGTGAGCGGGCGGGCGGGCGAACGAACGAACGATGTCCGCTCGATATCTCGAGTAATTATTAACGAATTAACTTCAAACTTCACAACAAGGTTAATTACCATAAAACCTCGGACAAGTACGATAACCGCCATTATCCGACCATAATTTCTGGAGTTATACCCCTTTACTTGCCGAAACAGTGTCCGCTCGATATCTCGAGTAATTATTAACGGATTAACTTCAAACTTCACAACAAGGTTAATTACCAT